TATCCAACGGCTGTGAAGATTCTAAACTAACACGAGTCTCATAAGTGTCCAGTTTAAGGGTATTACACAGAAACACACCATAATAACATGAATCAAATATGTATTTTATTCATTTACATTAAATGTCATAATGTACATTGTTCTGATTGGAGCTAAGGGCATACATTTTCCTCCTCTGGAACTTTTTTAGTAAGTAAATCGTCAAAATTATCAAATGCATTAAAATCAAACTAAGTCAAATTACCATATTCATGTTTCACAAATCAGAATAAAATCATCGAATATCAAATTAACCAAATCAAAGTCAACCAATTGAATTAAGTCATAAAATAATCAAATCAATTCATCAAATATAAAAATGCAGATTGCCAAGTTTATCAAATCGGTTTTGTCAGTCTTTAAATCAAATCAAATTAGTGTCACTCGTCAAATATTGAAAATTAAGATTGTCAAAACCAAATTGGGGTTGCCTTTTTTTATCAAAGAGAGAATTTACTAAGAATTAAAGCAATGCATTGAGTATCAAAAATTCAAACTGTCATTAATAAGCTTGAGATAAAATAGACACCAAAATCTAGTTTAAAAAGGCCTCAAATCAAGTGTTAGAAGTCAAAAATTACAAATAAGAAACAAGGAAACAGCATAATCAAATTACCAAAGGCTAAAACATTATCTTGATTAAGAGCGTACCAGTCGTATATCTCCTTCATCCAAGTTTTATTTGACCAATCGACCCCCACCACCATGTTTAGGGACCCAAAAAAATCATGTATGTCAAATTTCATAGCCTAATTCATCCATTTGATTATTAAATTAGATAGATTCTATTTTGATGCATTAGATTAAATCACCACATCTTCTGTCCCAACCTGAGACCTTAAGAGGGTGGGGGCTGACATCAGCCCCTTACTTGACTTATTAAAACACCTTGACCAATGAAATTAAGCCAAATAGACTTAAAAGGCACAAAACCCAAATAAACCCCATTTAAAATTAAGAAAAGACAAAATAACATTTATAAGTAAGTAAAATTTACATTTTTTGCCACTAGCAATCCCAAATACATGACTACAATGTTTGTCACACCCCAAGCTCCATTTGGACACATGAAACACATAGAAAACCATCCAAATTCGAGGTAAAATGTTGCACAAGAAGGAAAGATCAACTGCAGATTTTTTTCTTCTCAAAATCTTTCCCCTTTTTAATGAAAGAGCCTTGTTAAAGCCTAGACTTTGTAGCAGGATGAGATTCAAACCTATTTTCTCTGATTTCTCTATAAATAGAGACCCAACTCAAGGTTGAAAGAGGGGGAGAGACCAAAAAGAGCATCCTCTAGCCTCTATAGTGCCCTTATTCCCCTCAAATCCCAAAGCATTTGAAGTTCAAACTTCAAATCTTCCCCTTTGTCCTCAACTTCAAGATTTGAAACTAGAAACCCTCTCCCTAGCTTCATAGCTCATTCAAGCTTCATTTGAACTCGTTCTAGCTATTGGAAAACTCCTATCAAGGTTGTACCTGAGAGGTAAGCCACTAATTCTACGTTTTAAACTTGATTTCGTAATCTCTGTTTTTTCAATTCAGTTTTGGACGACTTGAAGTCCTAAAACCATAGGGAACTTGCATTCCCAGTTTCCATTACCTATGACCTGATAACATTACCTCAAATCAGTTTTGGGAGTGCCAAATTACAAGAATTCCTAGCAATGGTTTTTATTGATTTTCATTAGAATTCAAGCCTAAACTGGGTTGCTATAGCATCTTGGAAAAAGGGGAGCCTAACACCTTCCAATCCTTGGAACCTAAAAGCTCTCAGTAAAGTGCCTTTCTTGGTAGACAACAGAGTCACTATCAAGGCAGTAAAATCAAATTTTTGAATATGAAGTTGAGGGCCCATTTCCTTTAAAAAATGGGTGGTGACTCCTTTTGTTTATGCTAGCTATGATCTTCCCGTAGGTCACAGTTGGTGACTCATCGCACCTTAGTCAGCCAAAGTCAACCAAATCACAACTCTTTTCAGCCTCATTGCACTCCAGTCAACGAAATCACAACTTTTTTCAGCCTCAACCTCACATCATTTAACCAAACCGCAACTCTTTTCAGCCTCATTGCACCTTAGTTAGCCAAACTGCAACTTTTTCAGCCTCATCGCACCTTAGTCAACCAAATCACAACTCTTTTGAGCCTCACCGCCCCTCAATTAGCCAAACTGCAACTTTTTTTCAGCCTCATCGCACCTCAGTTAACCAAATTGCAACTCTTTCCAACCTCATCACACCTTAGTCAACCGAATCACAACTCTTTCAAACCTCATTGCAACTCAGCCAACCGAATCATAACTTTTTTTAGCCTTATTGCACCTTAGCCAACCAAATTGCAACTCTTTTCAGCCTCATCACACCTCAGCTAGCCAAATCATAACCTTTTTTATCCTTATTGCACCTCAGTCAACCAAATTGCAACATTTTTTATCCTCATCGCACCTTAGTCAAACAAATCGCAACTTTTTTCAACCTCATCGCACCTCATTCAACCAATTCGCAACTTTTTTTAGCCTCGTCGCACCTCAATCAATCAAATCATAACTCCTTTCATCCGCATCGCACCTTAGGTAGCCAAATCGTAACTTTTTTCAACCTTGCCATGCCTTAGTTAGCCAATCACAACTTTTTTCAGCCTCATCACACCTCAGTTAGCTAAATCACAACTCTTTTCAGCTTTATCGCACCTCAGTTAGCCAAATTACAACTCTTTTCACCATCATCGCACCTCAGTTAGATAAACTCCAACTCTTTTCAGCCTCATTGCATCTTAGTCAACCAAATCACAACTCTTTTCATCCTCATTGCATCTTAGTCAACCAAATCACAACTCTTTTCAGCCTCACCAAACCTCAATCAACGAAATTGCAACTCTTTTTAGCCTCATCGCATCTTAGTTAGCCAAATCGTAACTCTTTTCAGACTCATTGCAACTCTTTCTAGCATCATCGCACCTCAGTTAGCAAAATTGCAACTCTTTCCAACCTCATCGCACCTCAATCAACCAAATCACAACTTTTTTCAGCTTTATCGTAATTCAGCCAACCAAATTGCAACTCTTTTCAGCCTCATCGCACCTCAGTTAGCCAAAGCACAACCTTTTCCATCCTCATTGCACCTCAATCAACCAAATTGCAACTTTTTTCAGCCTCATCGCACTTTAGTTAGCCAAATCGCAACTCTTTTTAGCCTCATCACATGTCAGTTAGCCAAGTCACAACTCTTTTCAGCCTCATCGCACCTCAATTAGCCAAATTGTAACTCTTTTCAATAGTAGGGGGGGGGGGTAAGTTGGTCAACTAGGTAATTGACCATGATCCCCACATTCATTCATTGATATATTGGGTCTAGACATGTTCATGGGCTGGGCTTGGGCTTGGCCTAAAGCTTGAGCCTGATACAATGTAAAATTAAGCCCAAAGCCCGGCCTGTGGTTGGGTCCCATGGTAAGCGTTTATTCTAGAGAGTATTGGTTACCTAGGTATTAGTTACCTTAGAGGGTGCGTAAACAACTTACCTACATTAAAATAACACTCCCTCTCTCCCACCTTTCCCTTTACCTGAGTAACTTGTATCACACAAGAGCATTTAGAACCTATCTTATCCAAGCAAGTTTCACCTAGGAACAAAATATAGGCTGATGTGTTGGTTCAAGATGTACCAGGTTAGACCTCGAAACACCCACTATAGGGGCATATTGCATATTTGGGGGTGTCACCAATACGACACACATCGACCAATATGCCATGACACGTTTCAAAGGTTGGGAAACACTTTGCTCGAATAAAATCACATACCTAATTAAGTGAAAATGAACAAGGCCTTGATAAAAATTTTAGAGTATTAACAATTTTGCTTGACAAAAGGGTGCATATCACAAATTTCCAAGTCATTGGAAAAAAAAACCCACGCATCACACAGGTCTCGATTAGTGTACGATGAAGGAGAGGAACATAGGAGGCTATGTAAAAGTATGTATTTGGTTTCGTGGGCATTTATGGATGGAGTGTTTCTTAAATAAATATTTAATTGAAAAACACTACTTTAAACATTTATTGTTTTTGTTATTTGRTAGGGTGTTTCAAGTAACGTTTCATAAACTATCTTCCACCTCAGCTTACAATGTTCGGAGTAAGCATTTCATTTCAATAAACTTTAGGGTATTGGGGAAACTTGAATTTAAAGTTTCCCCAAACGCCTCATGCACATTGAAGCCAAATGGTTTTAAAGGCCACTGCCTAAGTGGCACTGAAGTGTTGGCATAACCCTATTAGTCAAGTCGGATTTTCTGTCCACAACTCTCACACTCTAACCGGCTTGAATTGCAGCCACACATCGCCTTCTTTGTTTTGTGAGATGTGGGGCTGCAATGTACCGCGTGGGCAAAATGCGGGAGAGAAAGTGAGTAGGAAATCTGGATTCTGCCTACCGCAAGTGCCTTTGGCACTCTAATACTCTCTTGGCCTCCTTGTGGCTGTCCTCAACCGTCAAGGCGTCAACAGTTCACCGAGAAGAACGAGGGAAAAAAGAAGAGGGAAGGAAAAAGCTCACTCTTTTCATGGGTTGCCTGGGGACAATATCCTATACCTTCTTTTTACTGGTGCTTCTCTCTCTTCTTTTCTTTGAAATTCTGAATTCGTTTTTACAGTACTTCTCTGGTATACAAATTTGAGTTCACTCTCTTTTTGTCCTCTCTTGTCAGAGCTATTCGTCTAGAAATCCTATTCGTAGTGGCCCAGAAGGCTTTCAGTTTTCGAGAGCTTTGAAATCTTCTTCACGAAGTATGTATCGGGGATTGTCACTCAGAACTTCTATGGGTGAAGAAACTGCAGCTTCCATGGCAAGGCAGGACGAAAGGCCTTCAAGGGGAATTGAGTGCTCTGTACGGAAAGTTCCACATGTCTTGACCGTCGCCGGCTCCGACTCTGGAGCTGGTGCTGGAATTCAAGCTGATCTCAAGGCATGTGGGGCGCTTGGAGTGTATTGCTCCACTGTCATTACTGCGGTCACCGCGCAGAACACAGTCGGAGTTCAGGTTCAATTCTAATTTTGCTCTTGAAATGTATAAACAATACTGTAGAGTGGAAACATAAGAATTTGGGATTATACTTGAATTGCATTTGGTTTTACTATTTTCTTTTGTAACATCTTCTTTTGCTGTTAAATTTTAGGGAGTTCATCATGTGCCCGAGGAATTTGTAGGAGAACAGTTGAAATCGGTCCTATCTGATATGCATGTTGATGTGGTAAGTCATGATTACCACCAAAAGCTTTTGATGGTTGCGTGGATATTAATTTAACTTCTTCTTTCCAATTGCCAACTGGATTTTTTTTTACACTTGCATCACATTTATATATGTACAATTTCATTTTCCTTTTGAAGAGTCAAGGTTTAAGTTCTATCACGTGCAAAGCACGTGCACACTTACTAGTAACTATAAAGAGAAACAAGCATTAGCTTCACTGAGAAAGATTTTGTCCAAGTTAGCAGAGATGTTGAAGAAGATGTAAGGAATGACATCAAGTTTGTGTGAAATAGAACATGTGAATTGATAATATTCAGGTTCAGGGAAGTGCTGTTGGGGGGATGTGAAGAGCAAAATTATGAGACTTTGGAAGGCTTGGATGTTCAGGCAATTAAATGTTGCTGTTGATAATACAAGTCATGATGCCTTGTATTAGATAAAAAGATGTTTTTGATTTGAAATCTAGGGTGGGAGAATATAATGAGGTCCAATTGGAAGGTTAGGGGCGTAGTTTGGCTGAAGAGGGGGCAAATCAGGGTATTGTCATTGGGAGCAATCAACCTTGGGATTTCATGCTCACATATGAAAAGTTTGTGGTGAAGGATAAGGGTGTTTAATGTCTTTGGACAGATAAGGGTTTTAGGATTCATCAGTGAGTCCATATTTACTAGTCTATGTAAAACATTAGCAATCTTTACAAAAGGACAAGACTTAAGGACAATGTTCATGCTTTTGATCCTTCATTTAGGTGGATGTGTAAAGATCAAGAAGATGTGTTTCCTATTGTTCCTTTGACTGGTTGTGTGGGTGATATTCTTATGGATATGCAGAGTTAAAGCATATGCCTTGAGGTAGGGGGCATTGATTGTTGTGGGTATGTGTGGTAAGGATCATCTAGCATCAATTAGTGTTCACAGAAATTTTATTTACTGAGGATTATGTTCATAGTTCTGTTGTGAAAGGTGCTATTCAGAATTAGAAAGGGTCATTTACTTAGAGACCTCCTGTAGTTTTGTTAGAGGAGGAAAGGGGGGAAAGAAAGATGGAAACAAAAGGTAGAATTGGAGGAGATCTATGGCTTTTTACCAAGAATGTTGGGACTTCCTAAAATCAGAGCTTCTGGAAATCTTTTGAAGAATTTCTCCTTAAAGGGGAGATTTCCTTTGGAGCTAATGCTACTTTCATCTCATTGATGCCTAAGAAGAAGGAGGCAAAGTATCCAAAGGACTTTAGGCCTATAAGTTTGATTGGCAGCCTTTATAAGATTATCTCAAGGGTTCTGTCTGAAAGGCTTAAGTAGGTTTTACCCTCAATGATCTCATCGTTTCAAGGGACTTCTGTGGAAGGCTGACAGTATGTGGACCAAATCCTAGTGGCTAAAGAGTGTGTTGTTGAGAAAAGAAAGAGTAGAGAGAAGGGTTTGGTGTGTAAACTGGATCTCTAAAAGGCCTATGATCTGGTGGATTGGAGGTTTTTGATAAAAATCCTAGAGAGGCTTGGGTTTGGAGCATGGTGGAGGTTATGGATTGAAGGTCATGTTAGCTCAGTTCACTATTCAATTCTTATTAATGGGGTAGCAAAAGGTTTCTTCCTTGCTAAGAGAGGAATAAGCCAAGGGAACCCTTTATCCCCCTCATAGTTTTCAAGGTGCCAAGGCGAGCCTAGGCGATAGGGCGGGGGGGTGCCTTGTTGCCTAGTCACCTGCGGGTGCCCAGGCAATGGATTTTTCTTTTTTTTCTTTTTATGTAAAATACATAGATCCTAGGATAGTTCTCTAGGTACCATAACCATATTTCCTTTATAATTATTCATAAGAAAAGTATAAAGTTCATGTTAAAGTATAGAAAATCAACATATTCATGAGAAGAAAAGAAAGAGGGAAAAGAAAATTCAAAAAATATAGGGGCTGAACCCTTATTTTTTTTATAGGAAAAGAAGAAGAAGAAGAAGAAGAAGAAGAAGGAAACTAGTATATTCCTTACTTATTGGTTCAAGTTTTGAAGTCTTTGAGGGTTCGGTACAACATTTAGCAATGTTTGTGTTGATTAAACCCTAAAAATAGGAAAATAATAAAAAGAAATTAGTATATAAACACACAAAATGAATATTTTAGTTTAATAATGTCTATTTTATAATTATAATCTCAAAAAATAAAGAATAAAAAAATCTATATATATATATTACAATTGGACGCTTCATGTTAGCATGTCTCTCCTTTGAGAGAAGSTATTTATCTATTTTCTCCATTTTTTGCATTTTTTATTATTTTCTTTTGTTTTAAAAATATAAAACAGTAATCATTGCTTATCTTGATTAGATTAATAAAGCTGCACACTATTAGAGAGAGACCTTTGGGTTTTCCAAGGCCTCTTATTTTAATGCATGTTATTATTACATTTAAGAGAGAGAGAGAGAGAGAGAGAGAGAGAGAGAGTAGTAATAATAATAATATAAATCAAGGTTTTTAAAACCAAACCGGACAACGAACTGATCAGAGGTCCGGTTCTCGGGTTGAACAGTCCGATCGTTTGAACTAAATAGATGACTTGTTTTGACAAAAAATAAAAAAATAAAAAAAATTAAAAAATGGTCAAAACCGTTGGACGGTTCAAATGGTTTGATCGCCCGAGTCAGCGGTTTGCTGACCAAATCAATAGTTTTTGGCGAAATAACGGTTTTGGGGTAAAACGGAACCGGTTACTTGACCGGTACCCGGTTTTTCCAGTCCGGTCCGGTTTTGAAAACCACGATATAAATCAAATAATATAAATAGGTTGAGGTTAAACAACCAAAAAACTATTAATTTAAAAATGTGTTTTAATTCCACTTAAAAATCCAACTTAATAAATGCTAATAAAAATAAGAAATTTAAATACAAAAATATTAAATGATAGTTTTAATAATATTATTAGATAATTTATGAGTTGAGACCTTAATAAACGCTAACAAAAAATATTAATTGGTAATTTTAAAATACCAATAATTAATTAAAAATCCAAAAAATTCTAAAAAACCTAAACATAATTAAAATACTAAAAATAATTAAAAAATATTGAAAATTAACAATATTTTATATTATTAAGAGTGTTTAGTAAAAATAATTAAAAAGTACAGTTAATAGTATTTTATTATTAAAAAATACCAAAAACTATTAAAAAATACTCAAGCCAAAAATTATTGAAAAATATTGAAAATTAACAATATTTTTACTGAAAGCAAATGCAAATTAATTTTGTAGTGACTAATATGCAAAATGATGAAAATACTGAAAATTATTGAAAAATACTCATGCAAAAATTACTGAATAATAATGAAAAAACCCCAAAAATTAATTAAAAATCTGAAAATTCTGAAAAAAACCTAAAGCTTAATTAAAATACTAAAAATAATTAATTGTATTTTATTGCAAAAAATACTGAATAATAATGCAAAAAAAGTAGTTTAATTATTAATAGTAATATAATTAACAATAATTATTTTTAAACTGTAATTAACAGAAATTATAATTTAAGCTATAAATAGTAGAAAATTACATTTAATTACTAAAAAAGTTATATTTAATTACAAAGCCTGAAAAATAACGGGTCAGGCCGGGCTAGGCCATCAAACTACCTGGCCCATGAATAGGTCTAATTGTATATATAAACAATTGTATACATAAAAAATCATATGAAATAAAAATTTAAACATCTTTTTCATTTATTTTTTTAAAAATGGGCCTCTTATAGCTTAGCCCGGTCCACGGCCTGGCTTGGTCCAAGGCTTGGCCCAACACGACCCGATTTACACCTCTACTTGAACCCGCCCAATATTGGGGACGGGGCGGGAAAATTTGAGGATTCCTCATCCTTGATGAGGAGTGGGGTGCCTTGCCCCTGAACTCGCTAGACATTGAGGAGTGGTTGCCTTGCCTTGAACCCGCCTGACACTCGGGACGGGGCAGGGATGGGGTAGAGTGTCTTAACTATGGGGCAGGGATAGGGATGGGGTGCCCCGCCCTGAACCCACCCTGTTGTCATTCCTATATAATTGTTAATTATTAGTGAAATTAATAAAAATGTTAGCTTTTGTAATTATTTTTATTTATTTAAAGTTAATCAAAATTTCATTTAAAAATAACAAAAATAATAGCAATTATTAAAATTACTATAAATTATTAATAAAGCTAAATTTATTAAAAAATATTTATTCATATTAAACTAATAAGAATTATTTCTTTGTAAATCAACATTAAATGAAAATACAATTATTAAAATTTTAGATATTAACAATAACTTTGAATACTTTTAGTCAATTAACAATAAATTTTGATTATTAATATTGATTAATAGTAAATAAAATTATTAAATCTTTCAGATTTTCCCGTGCATCGCACGGGTCTCCGCTAGTATTTTATAACAGAAAGTACAAAACTGCTTGGTGATTAGGCGAAGTGAGCCTCAAATGGCACCTTGTCACCGATGCCTTGACAACTATGATCCCTCTTCCTTTTCTCTCTAGTGGCTGAGGTCTTAAGCAGAACAATTGTGGTTGCAGATGTATAGGGACTGCTTAGGAGTTAGAAGATTGGTAGAAATCAAGTAGTTATTATCCCATTTTCAATTTTATGATGACACAATTCTGTTTTGTGAGGATGTAGACATAGAAATAGTGAGAAATTTGAAGTTTCTGCTTGATATCTTTGTTGGCATCTCAAATTTGAGGATCAATTGGAAGAATCCTTCAAGTTTGAGCTAGGGGACCATCTCATCATTGTGGCCTCTCCAGTCTTCATCTGTAGATTTGAAGCACTAACTTCTAAGACATCCTCCAACAAGTCTATCACTGCTTTATAGTCTTCAAAAGGGATGAACGATACTGGGCCTTTTACCTTCTGGTTTTTGAGCGTATCAGCTGCTACAACCCTCCAATTTTCTGGTTTCTCTTTTACTTCAACCACCAGCTTCTTTTCCCACTTGGTCTTCCCTGTGTTGAAACCAGCTTATCACTGCCCAGATCATTCACCAAAAAATATTTCCCAGAATCTGCTCCCTTCTCAGGACAAGTTTCGCTTGTTTCTCCAATTGCCTGTTTTACCTCATCTTTCAAAAAGTCCTGTAAAATAATTTTGATCTCCCTCCAACTTGAGCCATTTCTTCCTTCAGGAATGCACACCAGCTGCTTCTTCCCTTTTCCCAAATATTCAAGTAAAGCCAAGAAACTACCTTTAGTGTTCCATCTTCTTTCATCAAAGTACCTTTGTTCTTTTTCTTCTTTAGAGCTCTTCCACTCTCTGTTTCTTGATTGAAGTGCTCCCTCCACAAATACTTAAAACCACTCAACCACAGCATAACCATGGCTTTCCTTATTTCTCTGATCTTCAACATGATTTTCCCTTTTACTTTGTGCCTCCCAAAGAGTAGAGTTTTAGCCTTTTAGAAATCTTCTCCATGTTGTTGTCTGCACGAACTCCATCCTTCTCTGCTCTAATACTCACTTCTCATGCTTATTTCTAAAGGTGTGGTTATGCAGGCTGCCCTGTTAATAGATAATAATGGTTAATAGATAATAAATAAAAGCAGAAAAAGTGGTGAATCCTTTTTCTGTTATCCTGTTAAGGGGTTTTTCCTTCAACATTTTTCTGCACAAAGTTTAATATTTTATCAAAGTTATTCACAGTTTCTCCAATCTCAATCTATTGCATACAGTTGTACTGACTTGATAGTATTATGTAAATATTTTTATAAGGTTATTTTTTTTTTGCACATAAAATTCATGATTTTTGTTCCTTCAGTTGAACATAGGGAATATGTTACTCCTTGGTGCAGTTTTGAACTGCTGTGTTCTGGAAATGCTCAGGTTAAAACAGGAATGCTTCCTACTATTGAGGTTGTCAATGTTTTATGTCAAAAACTCAAGGAATTTCCAGTTCAAGGTATGCAATATATGTTGAAGGGAGATCAATTTCTTTGTAATTCTAGTGCCTTTTCAATTTCTAAGGTTAAACCTTTGAAGGCAGCTTTGGTGGTTGATCCGGTCATGGTGTCTACAAGTGGTGATGTATTGGCTGCTCCTTCCATACTTTCTGTATTTCGGTATGTTAAGCTATTTCACACGGAGGTTTACAAGTTCATTTCTTGCTGTCTATAATGTTCTGTAGGTGGCTATTAAGGTGGCTATTAAGGGCATCTGCTGATGATTAGGTGGCTATTAAGGGCATCATCTAATTTGAAATCTTAATAATAAGTCAACGATAGAGGGGCATGAGTGAAAACCAAGACAGATTCTCTATCCTATTTTATCTTCTTTTCATTGTTTTTTTTTCTTAACTTATATAAAGGGTAGCCCAGTGCACGAGGCTCCCACCAATGAGGGGTCTGGGGAGGGACATATGTATGTTAGACAGTTTTGTATGCCCTTAGCTTCAATAAAAAATGATGTACTTTATGAATTTATTGTAAATGAATAAAAGTACATATTTGGTTCATGTTCCCTTGGTATGTTTCTGTGTAATACCCTTAAACTGGACACTTAATGAGACTCGTGTTAGTTTAGAATGTTCACAGCCAGTGGATCGGTTTG